AAAATGTTTTGATTCATGTAAAATTTTGCTTCCACTTCACAATTGTATACCACTTTGTGTTGGTCTTTCACATTAAATCCCAGTGAAATATATTTGTTTGTGGTTGTAATGTGACAAAATATGGAAAAGTTCAAGGGGTATGAATACTTTTGCAAACCACTGTAAGCCACTGACAGCAGCTGTAACATTTCATTTGATCCTGGTTCTCTTTATGCCACTTTATACATCAAAATGTAGGCACTTTTTTCTTGTTAATTTGATGCTAGAATTGTAATTTTTAGTATTTAGCCTATTTGAAATTCTCAGCACTGAACAGTGGCTTCACCACGTCTCATATCAGCTAACATCAGCAGAAAGTTCAAATTTTACTGTGTTCATCATATCTAAAGCTCATGGCCTTCAAATCTCTGGTTTCACTGGATTTTTTACAGCCAAAGTTTTCAAGAAGTTTTGTAAACTGTCAAACTAATCCCAGTGCTGAAATCAACTCGTGCTGCAGATAAAACACCTGAAAAAGCAACAGGCCAGCAGATGTGTTTTTTTTTTTTTTTTTTTACCAGGACTGGTGAAGTGGCTGCATATGGACAGTAGATCAGGTTTTGCTCTGATACCTTCAGGCTCTTCCCATCTCTTATAACCCTCAAATGCATCTACACTTTTATGGTTTTAGGAAGTCAGAACCGTGTGTGTGTGTGTGTGTGTGGGGGGGGGGGGGGGGGGGGGGGGGGGGGACCAGGTGCTGAGGGATGAACAACTACCAGCGACTCTCCCATTATCATATCTGTCCCTGCTCTTAACGGGGGGATTTTCAGCCGTGTCCCTCTGCACTCCTCCTCTGGGCTCCCCCAGGATGGCCGATCGATTTCACCTCCATTATACCTCCCTCCCTCTTCCTCTCTCTCTCTCTCTCTCTCTCACCCCTCAGGTTGAAGATGCGCCTCATTCCTGCAGCTGCAGATTATTACCCACTGTTCACTTACAGGCTGCACAGGTTTGGGTGTTAACGCCTGGGTTTAAAGAAATAGTCAAGTCAGGATTTCTAAATTCCAAGTGGAAAGGAAAAAAAACAACTAAATTCCAACATGGAGGCCAAACATTCCTGACCAGCTATGATCTCAAAATCCAATATGGCTATGATTGTGAAAAGATGTTGCAGTTTGCGGGATGAGGCTCAGTGCCTCCAAATCCGAGGCCATCGTCTTGAGCCGGAAAAGGGTAGAGTGCCTTCTCCGGGTCAGGGGGGTCG